TCATATTTATCACAACGTTTATATATGTTGTACGCTCCGGCCTTCTTCAGGTTGTTGGAATGTCGAACTGAACCCTTTATTTCGCTCACTGGGATAGACTGTTCTAGTTCCAAGTGCCATGTTTAATTGATGTCAGTTATCAGTTATCTCCTGTTAATTTCCCTCTGAAAGTTCTCCACTGCCTTAACCGGGTATTGAACTCAAACTCTCAAAGACACATGGTACAGTGGATGAAGGTGTTTGTTAGATCCAGTGACAGGGCCGAAAGAGTGTGAGTTCAATACCCGTTTAAGGTAGTGGAGAACATTCAGAAGGAAATTAACAGGAGATAACTGATAACTGATATCCATTAAACATGGTAAGTAGAACTATAACAGTCTACCCCTGTGATCGAAATGAAGGTTTCATTTCCACATTCCAAACATCTGAAGAAGGCCGGAGCGGACAACGGCTGAAACGTTGTGATAAATATGGCGACAAAGTTGAGGACAAAATTCCGAATAATGTAAATAATTTTCACGTATTTTTTTCTAGCATAAGGCAAGTAACTTTTCCATTTTTTTCCATATATAATTTTTATTTTCATTTTTATAAACATTTAAGGAGTTTCTTGTTATACTCATTTATTTGGGGTTTTAATTCTCTTATATAATGGGAGTTTTAATTTTGCTCATTATTATTTTTATGTAATATAGATGTATTTTCAAGCATATCCGTCTAGACTGTGAGTGTGGGAATGAGTGTTACTGAGATATTGCAGTATGCTCAACCAAATGAAACGTAAGCCTTTTAGTTAGCATCGTCGTAGTAAATCTTAATTACTTTTCTAAGGCCACCAAGAAATTGATTTGCGAACTTGAAAGGATCACGACGTAAACTAATAGAAATGTATAAATTATTTAACCAAACCTGTTTGAATGAAAATATGCTGCCTAAACACACACAGACAGACACACACAGAGACAAACACACACATATATGTATAAAGGTAAATGACAATAGGAAAACTGTATTATTAGCCGACGTGTTTCGTCTAATGTAGACTTTTGAAGGAAAAAGAAGTAATAGATTTATTAAAAACAAACTAACTATTAACAACAAAACAAAATGTCTTTAGCAACTAGAAGAATTTAGAAAACGCTATTGTATTCATATTGTCATTTGAAAATTACGTCAGGTACTATCACGTGTAGAAATATTGTTTTTATAGTTGTGTTGATGGATTCAATCATTTCCTTTTGATTACTTGATACAGTTGTGTGCGTTGGCTTGTGAGAGTAGTAATTCTGTTAGGAGAGATGTTATTGGAAAAAAGCCTGGGCGTAGATTAATATTTAGATAATATTCAATGGCGGCACTCTCGAGGATTTTCCTTCTGAGTGAGATATTTTCTTTTTTATGAGTGTCGCATTTTTTAAATTAAAATTGTGGTTGAATTTATGTCTATGTATGACTAGTGCATTAGTTAAGTTGTTTTTGTGAGGTCTCTTTTGTGCTCATCGATGCGGGTTTTTTTTTTTTAATTTCTGCTTGTTTCTCCAATGTATTGGGAAGAACAGTTTTGGCAATTTATTTTATAAATGCCTGCTTCAGAAATATTATTGCTATGGTGTTTAAGGGTGGACCTGAACACAAATTAAGAGGTGGTCACAAGAAAAACCTCCTGATCAGATTTTTTTCAAAAAATGTAACTGGTAATAAAAAGCTATTTTACACACCCCAGTTTGGGTTTAACATTTGACCATGGACCCTAACAGGTGCTACACCAGCGTCAGGTGGACCTGGGAACACCAGCGCTTAAAAGGTGGTTCCACGCTCCTCAAAACCTCCTTGCTGTCGGATGTAAATTAACGTCTTACTCAGGGCGCATAGATTCGTAAAGCGAATATATAATTCCGAATCGTTCCGATTTCAAAATTTCTGATGAAGCTAGAAAAACAGCGACACATGTCAAATTTTAAATATTTTCTAATCAGTCTGTAAGCAATCACATTATCGTATATATTAGGCTGAGTTGAAATTTCTGTTTTCCGAAGCAAATGCAATGATGAATTTGTCTTAACAAAGCCTTCTTTATATCCAAGTGCTGATCGAAAAGTAACTGGACCGGTGCTATAAAAAGGAAACTACAAAACATATAAATCCGGCATTTAATCTCCTTCTTAATAAGTCTCATTCTGAAGTTTCGCACTTTATACATTGATGGAAGCATTCCGGAAATTCCTAACAAAGCCTTCCTTATATCCGAGTACTGATCGAAAATTATCTGGACTGGTGCTATAAAAAGGAAACTACAAAACATATAAATCCGGCATTTAATCTCCTTCGAATAAGTCTCATTCTGAAATCTCGCACTTTATACATTGATGGAAGCATTCCGGAAACTTGGGGGGGAGGGAGATAGCGATCAGCGATCTCGTCACATTCTCTTCGATTTCCTAAACGTTTTGAAATCTGTTTCCTATCAAGTAGGATTTGAATTTTTGAAAAGTCGAAACATTGCAAGGGGGCGAGAATATGGTGATCGTCGAAGGCGGGAATGCTGTCCTTGCCAAACAACTGCTGCATAAGCCATAGTTACAGATGGAACTTATCTGCTGTGCTGAGACGGTCACAAGTTACTGCACACTTTCCTTCCAACCCCTGCTATAAACAAATGAAGTAAGCGAGAACGTTGTAATTGAGGTTTGTCTCTCCGACAAGGTTCAAGATCAATCAATTCCCAGAGGCTTCACTTTGCGTGCTGTAGCTTAGCAACAGTCTCGATACATTTTGATCAGAGATCGTATAGTGATTTTCCAAGCGTAGCGTAGATGTGGCACAGGGACGAACTCACTACTCAGTCGTAAATCTTCTAGCGAGACAAGCTTGCTCAGCATTACACCGCCTCAACGCGTGCAAACACATTGATTTCCTAAGCTTAGAGGTGGCACAAGGCCGAACGTATCTAGTTAGGATTGAACTCCCTATTCAGTCGTAAATGATCGAGCAAGACCAGATTCCTAACCATTACACCAAGTGGAGTTTCCCAATCACAAGATCGTATATCGTAACAGGTGACGACAATGCTCAACGCAAACATAGTTTATTGACAAGGATATGCTTTCACTAATGACCCAAATGCTGAGCGCCATGGAAGAAATTTTACGTTGTACATATGGCAAGATCGTCAGGATAATATACATTGAAGGTTTTTAAATCGCAACGAAGCGGTAAATGGACAGTTATACGCCCAGCAGCTGTGACGTGTCCGTAAAAGACTTGTCGAAAATACTACTCGAGTCGATATGAAAATATTGACAACACAAGACCGTATACAGCAAAAATAATGACACATGGAAATAAATTCATACTCGGTCAGTGTGATTTTCAACAAGTCTTTTGGTACTCGAGTAGGGCAGTTTACTAAAGCCGCTATTTACTGCAGGTGGCACAGTGGAGGAAATAGGTAGCGGTTCGGTTTGAAGAATCGAGTTCGAATTCCAGTCGAATACATTACATTCACTTACGTGCTAATACACTTAGCAAAGGTATGAATCCTCTTCTCCTCCTTCAGACAGGACAGATCGACAAACAGGCCTTGGATGGCAACTGGTCTACCGCAGAAAGAAATAGCAACCTACTGCGGGAAAAAATATGCCTCGTCAGTCATGTATCGAAAAACACATGATCGCCTAAGCGTGTATCACGCATGGCACATAACTAACTGATTTACTGCTAGAAGAGGTTTTGTGGTTTGCATCTTGGCTGTTGTAGAAATTCTGGCTGGTGTATTGTCAAGGTTGTACGAATTGGCTCCGTTAGGTCTTGGTTTGTACGGGTTTCACGATGTTTCGACTTCAAAAACTTCCTTGCAGTGAGTAACAGAAGTATGTTGTACTGAAAATTGAGATGAGTTGCACACTAGTTTTCTCCAGTTTGTAACTTTTGTAGAGTAGTTTTCACAGTGGAGGCTTGTATTTCAATATGTCGTCCTAAATTAGGTTCGACGTACAAAAGGTTAGGAACTTGAAATAAGAGTTAATGACGCAGCAATCTAGTTCTGATGGTTGATACTTCAATGTCCGACATCGACTGACTCACTCAACACCACTGAGCTCAACTGGCGAACGCTACTACTACTTATTATGTGTGGGAGAGTCTATTAATAATAGAATAGGTACGTTCAGGTATGACAGTAACTTAGTATTTGAATTCTTAAATAGTTTTTTTAATAGCCATGAACATTAAAATACCTAGTTCATTTCAGTTCATAACCAGTAAAAAATTATAAAGCTTGAAATGTTTTTCTTGTTTAACGTTTATATTAACTGCGATGAAAAGAGGAGCTTAGCCAAGATATTTCCACGGGCTGCATATTAAAATGTCAAAGAACTGCATGTGACTCGCGAGCCGCGGTTTGGCCCCTCCTGCCTATCTATAACCAAGAGTCGAATTTTGCATCAAGTTGAGACGCGTATAAATCTATTCGTTTCGGTGTATCTTTCTTTAAGCATTCCGGTATCATTCGCGAGATTCATTGTTAAAACATTGAGTAGTTCTGCTGTTACGCTTATATCTGCGGGCATTTCACGTTGCACACGCACAGCACAGACATTACGACGACTGCAAATGATGAGATTCAGTTCTTACGTACAAAATCCCGAATAATTCCTTTTCCAGGAATCTCGTATGATACAGATACCGAATGGTAGAAGGTAAACAATATTTATATACTCAAATATCCCGCTCTGTCGTCTTTTGCTTGTAATCTGTCACTGTCTTCTTCTCTTTCTGAATAATTATGATATTCTCTTTGAGACATCATGGCGAAACAAAGACCGTTGCTTTTCGTTTGCATGCAATGGCACAGTGTTCATTAACAGAATCATTTAGGAAAATAATGACTGATGTACTGTGTAACCATCATGGTCGATTCTTGTAATAATTCTTGGTTTGAGTAGAAATCCTCCAACATCATTAAGATAATTCCTTTAGTCATTTGGAACTTTATATGCCAGCTAAAGTTGCGTATTTCATCTTGTCTCTCTGAGATTTCTTTCTTTCTTTCTTTCTTTTATTTTCCTTCCACCACCTTTCACTTTCTTTCTTCCTTTCTTTCTTTCTTTTGTTTTTCTTTTCACCACATTTCACTTTCTTTCTTTCTTTCTTTCTTTCTTTCTTTCTTTCTTCCTTTCTTTCTTTCTTTAGTTTTTCTTTTCACCACATTTCACTTTCTTTCTTTCTTTCTTTCTTTCTTTCTTCCTTTCTTTCTTTCTTTAGTTTTTCTTTTCACCACATTTCACTTTCTTTCTTTCGTTTACCTTTTACCACCTTTCACTTTCTTTCTTTCTTTCTTTTGTTTTCCTTATACCACATTTCACTTTCTTTCTTTCTTTCTTCCTTTCTTTCTTTTGTTTTTCTTTTCACCACCTTTCAATTTCCTTCCTTCTTTCTTTCTTTCTTTCTTTCTTTCTTTTATTTTCCTTTCCTTTCACCATCTTTCTTTCTTTCTTTTATTTTCCTTTCACCACCTTTCACTTTCTTTCTTTCTTTCTTTCTTTTCCTTTCCTTTCACCATCTTTCTTTCTTTCTTTTATTTTCCTTTCACCACCTTTCACTTTCTTTCTTTCTTTCTTTCTTTCTTTCTTTCTATTGTTGGATTACCGTCCCCATATTGATGATAATCACATGTGGTGCTGTATTTAAAAGTTTTTTTTTACCTTTTTTTTAACTTTTGAAGCGGCAACACACGTTTCCTTTCACTCCGATAGACACGAGGCATGTAAGAACTTCAAAGACCTAGACTGAAGATTATAATAGACTATTCAATGGACTGAAGATTATAATGGACTATTCATAACTTCAACTTCGTTTCTTTCCTTATCCTATTATCCTTATCCTTATTATTTTATGAAATGGGTTAAAACCCAGATAGTGTAATTAATTATTTTGCTTCAAATTATCGTACGTAAATACTTATATTCGAGCAAATGCTTTGTTTATTTTAATTAAATACTAGTTATTTTAATGACATTTACTGACCTGAATATTCGAAAATTTTTGTCAGATTCGAACCTGCACCCGTATGGGGAGCCGTCATTAGATGTGATATGCTTAACTGATGCGGACAGGTATGTGGCCGAATCGGTTAAGCACGTCAGAGAACGCATTTTTTCTTACAAGATTTCTCGAATCTTTCTGGCATCTAAAAGAAACGAATAAAACACCAAAAGTAAAATGGAAAATAATAAATAAAACAAGAACCTGTAAAACCTGGGATGACCCATGCCCTTTATACTTACAGGAAAAACTACACATCATTAAATTTCTAAATAATGAAAAATTATTAAACCATAGGCAGGAGTTAACGGTTTTTTGCAGACATCAACAAACTTTCGCATTAAATAATTAGCATATAAAAAAAAATCTCATAGCTAAGTAAAATTCTTAAAAGCAAAGCCAAATCATTAAATACGAAAAACCCTTTTTGTAGCCGTCAAAAAACAAAAACAAAAACAAATTGAAATTCAATGCAATGCGATCTGTATATAAAACACCCACTTGAATAAACAAATAAATCAGATGGACAATAATAAAAGACAATTCCCCAGACACATAACGATTGTAGGTGCGCCATAAAAATATCCCTCACTGGGAACTAACTAAAGGGTGACCGCAAACATTAGCCTTGAAATAGATACCCTACTCAACCTTACCAAAACCTCTTAGAAGATGATGAATCTATTGATAAGAATTAACTCTCTGACCACTTAACGAAGGAAAATAGTCTAGCCACTCCCACAATAACGAATTCTGTAACGGACCGGGCCTAAAAATACACGTAAACCGACAGATAGCTTATTCCTAAAATTTCGCTTGAAGATGAAACGGAACTAAACACCACAATCCAACTTAATTTTAATAATTATTTGGATATTTCGGCTCTCGTTTTTGAAACATGAGAACCCTTATGTAGCGAAGGAATCATATTTTAAAAAAAAATATTATTATAATATAAGCTCTACTTCTGTATGGAGCACTGTCTTCTTAAAAATAAAAACAAAAAATACTAAGGAACCCCGGATTATGCACCCAACGTGTTCTTTTCTATTTTCTGTATACCTACGCACTGTAGAGAATTTAACTTTAAAAATCAGGAGATCAATTGAATACGCTGGTTTCGTTTCAACCTCAGGCGAATTTTATTAAATGACCACCTGACATTTTATTTTAAAAAAAAAACAATTATGAACGCTATATTTACGCTATTTAAAAAAAAAATAAACAAACACACGACGTTGGGTGTAATAGATTCGACAAGAAGAAGAAGAAGAAGAAGAAGAAAGGCAAGGGTATTAAAAGCAAGGCTATTATTTTTACCAGAAATTCGAAGTCTTGCTTCCTTGCATACATATTAAGAAATTCCTCTTAAGCACATATAAGGCTGGATAAAAAAAATGTGATTTCAAATAAGCCATAATTTTATAATACCCTTGCTTTTCTTCTTTTTCTTTTTCTTCTTCTCATCTCTTTCTATTACGCCCCCCAAAAAATGTGTTCATTAGCTTTTTTTTTTAGAAAATAAAACGTTAAGAAGATACTGTAAGGTTGAAACCAAGGTAGCGGATACAACTGAACTCCTGATTTTTAAAGTATATATATATATATATATATATATATATATATATATATATATTCTTTGGTGCAAATAAAACATTGCTCAATGCAGAATGACACAGCTGTTAAGTATATATTAATAAATATACATAATACCTCACGCCGACAGAACTACTCGGAATTTCATGCATTATAAACCATCAGGTACCTGATGATTTCAGAGCGCATTAAAGTCCGATATGTACAAACCGCATGGGCTATTATCTGCATTTATTAATATATATATATATATATATATATATATATATATATATATATATATATATATATATATATATATACAAAGACAATCACACACACACACACATATGGTTCCAGGAACCAATAAAACTGTCACAATGCCCAGGGGAATTCAGAGTAGCATGAGTTCATCCAGCCCTTATCTTAAAAAAACAACTTAAAAGAGACTGTTTGACCAACAAAAGGACTGTCAAAATTCATGTTAAAAAGATAAAAAAATAAAAAAAAAACAAATGAAATCTACAAACAAAAGTTCATTTTCTCCATCAAGACATTCATTCTTGTAGTTCACTGTTACAAGCAAGCAGAATTTTTTTTCTTCTGATGATAGCCATGTTGGCCGAAACTAGTCGAGAAATCGAAATGAAATGATAATAGAAACTAAAGAATATTAATATAAAAGCCAGTGTGTCTTAAGATTTAATTTTTTTAATATTTTTTTATTGTTCAATATATATATATATACACACACACATATATATATATATATATATATATATTAATACATATATATATATATATATATATATATATATATATATATATATATAGTCCAATAAAACTGTTCTTAATAGTAAATCTATGAACCCAAAAGGATCGTATACACAACAACTTATCAATTTCCCTTCCTAGATATCAAGCTACATAGAAATTAAATTTGTAACAGTTCTTATTATTTCTTCCACAATGCCGAGAGAAAGGCATAAAAAATATTCTACCACAAAAACTCTAACAACAACAACAACAATGTCAATAAAGTAAACCAAGTTTCTCAACCTTTTTACCTTTGTTGGATCCTTGAAATAGTTTTCATGGCTGAAGCAACTCCTGTATAAAATATTATGATACACCATCTTTATCTATAAAAGTCAGGATGTGTGTGTGTGTGTAACGAATGCACGGCCGCAATTTACGACGCATTTGCACAAAAATTTACATGCACATGCTCCAAGTTATCGGAAAGGCCAAGACCGACTTTGCATTTCCCAACTCCCATCGACAGTGGAAATAATCAATTTTTTCATGTAGTTTGCGGCCATTCTCTACTGGCCAGAGTGAGAGCCAATAGCTGGCTGCCACGAATAGGCAGGGAGATTCTATTAGCCAGCGTGGGAGCCAACCGTTGACTGACACGAATGTTAACTAGCATGCTAGCATGCAAAAAAATCGATAGTTGTATTTGTATTTGTCACAAGTGGGAAAAAATTAAAATCTGCATGGCACTTTACTCCATTTGGCTCATTCGATTGCTTAAACTCAACGTTGATTCTGATTCCGCAGAACTGGGTTGGATGTGAAAAAGTATTTGTTGTTAACATTCTTTTTTCATTCGGTTTTTCCAGTTACGTGTCCTTTTTTAAAGCTGATCGTTTTGTGTTCATTTTGTTTAGTTTTTTTTCGTAACAGATTTAATGTTTAGTATAGAGCTTAGAAAAAAATTCATAGTGTGAGATAAGCAAGAAGTAAGTCATGTAGCAACATCAGCACAGCTAAGGGCACTTTTTTTAAAAAAAGGCAAGGAAGGGCAAAAATATTTTAAGTCAAGTGATAGCGATTGCTGCATGAGTCATACGATTTTTGAATCAAGCACGGGCAACGACAGGCCATGCTGGTAGTATATATATATATATATATATATATATATATATATATATATATATATATATTGGACATTATATCTATTTTAAAATCCTTATAATTTATTTATTAACTATAATTTTCACATAAAACTCAATATGCGCACCAGATTTCGTTGTCAAGTTCTCGAGCCGCCCAAGGATCTGGTAAACTTATTTCACCGGTAACTCTTGGGTCGTACGATTTTTGAATCAAGCACGGGCAATGCCGGGCCATGCTGCTAGTTATTAATATATATCTCCTTTATCTTTTTTTCATCGTAGTTCACGTGGTAAACTGTTTTTTTTTTTTGTTTTGTTCGGATAACTGATAAAAGGAAACAAATGAATGTTTTTTTTTTTGTTAAATTTGTAATGCAAAATTTAAAAACAAAATTCATAATGCTAGTTTTTGTGCCCTCACACCAAGGTTTTCTTTCACTAAAACAATCTGTAGGCACACAAGAAATAAACATAGATAATCAATATCATTAAAACAACCAATCATTTTCCGATAATATGCCGTACGTGTCTAGTACAATTACGACTATAAAATTAAAGGAAAATTAATAAAAAAAATACATGATTCTATTTATTATTCTTTTTTGCCGAACAGCTAATAATCTTTTGCGCAACCCGAGGATTCCAGAGAACACCAGCTGAGTAACACTGAGTAACACTGAACTTGATAAAAACAGGTGTATAATATTATCTACTAACTCCTTAATATTTTCTATCCCAAACAATTTACGCAATCTTAACTAAACCAAAATAATTACAACCAGATCCCAAACTATTAGTTTTCTTTAAGACTTCAAAAAAAATGTTTTCTTCATTGAAATAAAGACATGGCGATTATCTAAGTTTCGCTTAGATAATCGCCATAAAACCGAAAGTATGGGGAACGCGATGAGGATGGAGCTAAATGTTCAGTTGTTGTGAATACAAGCTTGTTAACCATTACTATATATCGGAGTGTCCGAGGAATTTTTTAAGCAAAGTTTTTGTTGTGGATTCCAAGATGAAATTCGGTCTCCAATGAATGACAAACGCAGGAATGAAATATAGCAAATAAATGTATTGACGTAATAATACAATTGGTAATACGGTTAGTAGATCCAGAAATGCGGTT